AGGTATGTGCTTTGTCAGACAGGAAAGAGGAGGGGTATTTAGACAACAGTTGAGAGTTCCTTTCCTGGTTTCCTGGGGACCTGTCTAACTACCCTGGGCAGTTTAGGGGACCCCTTTATCTGAAAGGCATCGGGGTAGGTGAGTGGCTTTCCGAGCTTCCCCGTCTCCTCCCAGCCTCACCTTGGCCTCTCCCCTGGATACACCCTGCTAACTGAAGCCTTATTGAGTCCTTCCCCCCTTTGCCCTATTCACTATCTCCTTCTCTACCTTTCTTTTTCTCTCAAATTCCTGCAAGTCCTGCCCTGCCCATGACCCAGCTCCAACTCCCTCCTACCCCTTGCACAAGACCCAGTCTTCTGTGCAAGATTCCCCAGGCCACTCTCAGACCTGCTTCCCCACGACGCTGGCCCCTGCGGGGACACAGTACAAGAGCCGGTTCCTTCCTCTAGTCTGGGCCCTCGGTCGGTCTCCCATCGAGAGAGCCTGCGCCTCTTTCGCCAGCAGCTTGTTCGCCTTGCAGCATGCCGCAACCCTACCAGGGCCGGCCGGGTGTGCTGCTCGCTTTAAAAGTCCATCTCACCACGGAGTTGCCGTGACCCAGCAGGTCCACCCCTAGGTGTGCGCCTCAAAGAAAAGACCTGGAAACATACGCCCCCACAAAAACCTGTCTGCTCAGAGCACGTGCATGTTCAGAGCAGCATTAGTCAGCATCGCCAAAAAGTGGAAACAAACCGAATGTCCATCCACAAAAGAGGCCAGCTAGAGGGGGCCTCTTCTCCCCCGGCCCCTTCCTCCGTCATCGCCAGCCGTCCCTAGCTCCCAGGGAGGGCCCTGTCTCCTGGTTCCTTGTTGGGTCCATCTACACAGTCTACTGCTCAGCCATAACAAGAACGAAGTACTGGCATGCGCTTCAGCATGGAGGAACCTTGAAACACTGTGCTGAGTGAACGAAGCCAGGCACGGGACATACTGTATGATTTCGTTTCCACGAAAATGCAGAGCAGGACAATCTATCGCTCCAGAAAGTAGATTCCTCGCCCAGGGCGGCGCCGGGGTGTGGAGCGGGAGGGGAGCGCCTGCACATGGGCACGGCTTTCCTTTGGGGCCGATGGAAACGCTCGAAACTTAGACTGTGGTCGTGGGCTTACGGCTCTGAACATATTAACAACCAGTGAACTGTACATGTTGAATAGCTGAATGGGATGGTATGTAAATTATAGATCAATTTTTAAATTTAAGAACAAGACTCATCCCTCGTTCAACAAATACCTCTTGAGCCAGACCCCGTTTTGGGGGGTGAGCACGACAGACAAGGTCCCTGCTCTCCTGAGCCTGCGTTCTGGAGGGTCATTCCAGTGGAACGAAGGAAATAAACAGAGTAAGGATGGAGAGGAGCAGAAGTGGGGGAGAGGAACAGGGGTGGTCAGGGGAGGCCTCTCTGAGGAGGTGACATTGGAGCTGACACCTGAATGAGAGCCACGCGTGCAAAGAACTGGGGGAGAGGCGTTCTAGGCCGACAGAACTTCAAGTCCAGCCAGTGTGTAAGAACACCCGTGGGAGCCCAGCCCCCACTGGGCCGGGGCACATCATCGGGCGCATAGTGTAGCCGGCCTCAGGTTGGGGTCTCCCCCCGGGTACCCCCAGCCATCACACAGAGCCCTGAACAAGCTGGGGTGTCCGTGCTGGGCTGACCCAGCTAGAGGGGCCCTCTTCTCCCCCTGCCCCTTCCTCAGCCATCGCCTTGGCTGGAGCTGCAGTCTCCAGCCTGCCCTAGCTCCCAGGGGGAGCCCTTGTCCCAGGCCCCCACTCTTGTCGCGGGGGCTGCCCGTCTTTTCGGGGTGAATGGGTGTTGAGGATGCCTCTGACCCTCCTCGGTTCTGCGTCCCGCCCCTCTGCCCTGGTCTTCAAGGCCGGAGATCATCCAGGGTAGGGGATCCCCGAGGCAAAATGTGAGGAGGATGTCAGTGCCCCTCCTGGGGTCACTCATTGGAACCCGGGCTCGCTCAGTCTGTGGTGACAAGGGGCAGTCATTCCCCCAACCCTGGGGAGTGGAAGGCAGGACAGGCTGTGGATACCTCGCTGCTTCAGTCCTCCTTGTTGTGAAGCCAAGCAGCCCCTTGACCACACAAAGCCACGTCAAGGTGATGGGTCACGTGTGCCCTCTGGGTAAGGCAGAGCACCTGGCTGACAGGGTCAGCAATATGCTCAAGGTCACCCAGCAAACTGGCAGGGTTGGCACCCCCAGGCGGGGCTGGGGGTGGGGGGGAGGACCTGGCTCCTTGCCCTCCCTCCCGTTCTCTTTAACCTTCCATGGGGAGCTGGTAATGAGTAACCTGGGCATTTCCCTGGCTCCCTAAGGACCGGCTCCCTGGACAGTCCACGCTGTTCCTGGGCCTGGGGCTCTTCCCATAACCGGCCTGACTTACCCTCCGAACCCAGGACGGGGGGAGGGCAGACCAACGACACTGCGCTGGCCTCGGCCAGGATTGGGAGTCAAGAAACTGGATCCTGGCTCAGCGTTACTCTGCCCTCCTTCCGTGTCCGGGCCCGGTTCCTGATCTGTAATATGAGGGGAGGCCTCCGAGGTCCTTGTCACTCTAGCTGTCCCTGGACTACCTCCGAGTCACCCAGAGGGTGCTGCAGCGGGCACAGCACCAGCCCGTGCCCCTCCTGTGGGGCATGCTTCTCTGGGCCTGGCAGTGCTCTCTGGGGGAGTCCACAGGGAGGGGGAGCATGGGGCGGGGGGCAGGGGAAGATCCCGGTGAGTGAGCCAAGGAGGACGGGCTGGAACAGCACTGACTGCCCAGCAGCTTCGTGAAGCAGCGCCTACTATCCCCATGTGATAGGGAGGAAACTGAGGCACAGAGGCTATGTGTACATGGCCCGCCCCAGGCCACCCCCTGGGAAGTGGCAAAGGTGGGCCGGACCAGTCTTCCAATTGCTAGTATAAATCCCGCCGCATCCGCGCTGCCAGAGCTGTTTTGACATTTTTATTTTATAATTTTCAGTTTATCCATAGTCCTGGAAGGGGCCGTTGACCAAACCATTAAGTGGCCAAGCCAGTTCATATATTTCCTTCTGGCTCTGAGACTCCTTTTTCGTGGCTGGAGGGGGTGGCCAGCAGGGAGCACGAGGGAGATTGTGCAGAGCCTGGTCTCAGGAAGCAACGGCGCACAGCTCTGGCCCGGAACATGAGCCCCAGGGCTCCCTCTCTGTTCTGAAGAAATTGGTTCAGGCTGGTTTGGGAATGCCCAGGAATGGCCCTGCCGACCAGCGGGGAGGACGGCAGCCCGGGATCCACACGCAGCTGCCCCCGTTCGCTGGGAACAGTCTCCATCCCCTCACGCCCAGGAACCCAGGCCCATATGGGCTCAGCCCGCCTCCGCCTCAGCCGGTGGGTGGCAAGCTCCCACCACTGCCCAGAAGGGGCAGGAGAGGCAGGGAGGGCACTTCCCGGGCAGGCTCCCCCGCCTCTCCTTCCTGCCGGGCCTCTCTGCCTCCCTCCTACCTGTGGGCATCAAGTGTCCTTCTCAAGAATGACAGGGTGAGAGGGTCCAGATGGGAGAGAGGAGAGGCCTGGACGGGGCAGCACGCTGGCCACCAGCCCTTCCCCAGCCCCTTTCCTGAGCCCCTGCTGTCCTACTCAGCACCTTCCTGGCATCTCTGCCGCTGCCTCTGCCGCCCCCTACACTCCCACATCAGCCTCCCAGTCTCCCGTGCTTTCTCCGCGCCATCCTGTGCGCTGGGATGAGACAGGCCTTCCCCTCTCCTCCCATTTCACCAGCCGCATCCAGCACCTTCTCAGGGCCGAGCTCAGGGCTGGGCACGGGGTCCCACAGTGAACAGGTGGCAGCAGATGCCTGGGCGGTGGGAGGAGGCGGGCGATGAGGCCAGCCGTGCCTCTGGAGCTCCCATCACACCAGCAGAGGGACCCTGGGGCTCATGTTCCAGCAACTGTAGCTGCAGGCTCCCTCATGCTCCCTGCTGGCCACCCCCTCCACCTGGCTGGGACTGTGGCCCAACACCAGCCTTCCAGCCTTACACACACACACACACACACACACACACACACACATGCGCACACATGCAGGCACACACACAACACACATATGCACGCACACACACACATGCACGTGTGCCCTCCTCCAAGGACGTGGAGCATGGCATGGAAGACCTGGGGTTAAGTCCAGGCTCTGTCAGCTACTTTCTCGGCCTTTCTCAGCCTCAGTTTACTTTGGGTCAACAATTGCAAAGTCTACCTCCCAGCATGGTCATGTGCAGGTGCCTTGGACCCTGAAGTGTTGGTCGTTGTCGTGTAAACTTTCTCCCGCGCCCCATCTCCTTCCCGTTCCCGTCGCGGCCGGCCCTGGACCTGCCCCAGGACTGAGTGCTGAGGCTCACTCAGGGATCGGGGCAGGTGCCATGTGCCAGCTCTTCAGGAGCGCTCCTGTGCCCGGGCACCTGTGCTTTCCCCGAGTGGGGAGTGAGTGGTGGGGCTGTCACCGCTGTGTCCTGGGTCAGCGCAGGGGACATTTGAAGGAGAGAGGGGCCCTCTTGGGGTCCCTGAAGTCGGGCCAGCCAGGAGGGTGCAACATCTGGGCTCCTTAAACATCTGTGTAGGGGAGAGAGGGGGAGGGAGAGCTGGTACGAAAGTCCTGTGTTTTTAGTGCCCCGAGGAGGTGTGGGCACCACCTGTATTGGCGTCAGAGGTAGGGGAGCCGCAGCCATCAGGTTGCCGGAAGCAGAAGCTCAGTGAGCGCCCAGGCTGCCAGCGCTGGGGGCCCACAGAGCAGGGCTGGCGGGGCAGGGACAGGGGCATCCCTATTTTCCTCACAGTGGCCAGGGTGAGCGAGCTTTCCCACGCCCCTCACACAGCTCGGAGTGGGAACAGGCAGGGGTCATGGTCAGTAATCTGTCAGGCAGATCAGCCTGGAAACAAGAAAGAGAAAATAACGGACTATTGCGGTCAGCCAAGCCCTCTGATAACGGATTAATCAAAGATGAGAGCTGAGCGCCAGGGTGCAGAGGCCAGACCCTCCGGGGAAGGCAAGGTCGGGGTGAGGAGGGGCGAGTTTCGCTTTTCTTCAGCGTGCTGCCGATTCAGACACATCTCGCCACGTGCCCTGCCCCTTCCCACGCTCAGCCGCCACAGAGGCTGGCTGGGGCTCCCCAACTCTTCCTAAGTCGAGAAGTTTCTCCACAACTTCTTCTTTCCAGAACATCTTCTGCCCAGTCTCCTTCCTCCCCACATTAGCCTGGCAGGCTGGTCCCAGAAAATACCAGGCTTCCTTCCTTCCTCTGAGAGTGCTTATCAGGCAGGGTGTACGGAAAAGACCTGGACAGAGCCTTAGGCGCCCCATTCATTCCCTCGCTCACCCATTCATTCCCTCGCTCACCCATTCATTCCCTCGCTCACCCATTCATTCATTCATTCCCTTGCTCATCCATTCATTCCCTCTCGGGGACAGGCCCTCCGCCGGCTGTGGTGGGCTCCTCCAGGGGATGCCTCTCAATGGGGGTGTCCACAGAGCCCCCATCCAGATACTGGCCAGATACAGGGCCCAACAGCTCTGCCCATCGAGGGGGTTACCAAGTCGCCCCGACACCTCGCTGTGGGCCTTGGGCTCAGGGAACTGTGCTTCATGCATGTGGCCCAGTTCCCTTGAAATCCTCAAACCAGACTCCCCTCTAGTCACTTTCAGGTAAACAATATAAACTTGCTTGTAAGTAAAATAATAGCAGCTACACTCTGTTAAGGCCCATCGTGTCCCCACACATACTCTCCGAGTCCTCACAACACGGCCCCTGAGGGGGCTGCTCTCAGACTTGGGCTCGTTAAACATCTTGCCCGCAGCCCAGAGCCAGTAAGTGACAGAGCCTCTTCCCAGCGTCCTTCCCCTTTCGCCAGCGTGTGGGGGGCCGGCCCCGCGGGCTCCGGGCCCCTCCACTGACCGCGCCCCTCCCTGACCGCAGCCTGGCCCAGTCGCTGTGGGCCCTCTTCACCTCCTCGCTGACCATCTCCCTGGTGTTCGCCGTCATCCCCTTCTGCCGCAACGTGAAGGTGCTGGCCTCCGTCATGGCGCTGGCGGGCCTGGCCATGGGCTGCATTGACACCGTGGCCAACATGCAGCTGGTGAGGGTCTACCAGAAGGACTCGGCCATCTTCCTCCAGGTGAGCCCACGCGGGCACGAGCTGGGGGCGGGGAGGGGCCTGTCCCTCTGCCCGTCTCTCCCAGCCCCTCTGCCCGGGCCTCAGGGTGCTGATGCAGGAACAGCACCAGGGGCACAGTTCAGTGTCTCTGGGCGTAGCACTGGCCCTGCCTGCAGGGCGCTCACGGGAGTCTGAGCGCTAAGCAGAGAGTTTGTTGTCACTGGGAAGTGGCGTGACAGGGGGGCTGTTTTCCTCCTGTCTCCTTCCCCCTCGCTGCATTTCTGTTTCCTCATCCTCCAGTTACCGGGACTCCAGCCCAGCCCTTCCCTTCACTAGCCCTCCTCCCTTTGGTGGGGCTAACATGGGAACAGTCCGCACTGGGGGTTAAGATTTGGGGAAGGAGGGAGAGCAGCCACTGTCATCATCGTCCCAGGACACGCGGGTGGCTGGGGAGCTCACTCCCTCTCCTGCCTCCCACTCCCTCGTTCCCACCTGGGCCAGGCAGGGGCTCCCAGATGGGACACAGATGCGGTGGGATATGAAGCCTGAGCCATCACCCCCCACGCTACCTCTCCTCCTTCCCCAGGTTCTCCATTTCTTTGTGGGCTTTGGGGCTCTGCTGAGCCCCCTGATCGCAGACCCCTTCCTGTCGGAGAACAGCTGCTTGCCGGCCAATAGCACGGTCAATGTCACCTCCGGCCGTCGCCTCTTCCACGCCTCCAGGGTCCTGGGCCAGCACCACGCGGGGGCCTGGCCTTGGGCCAACCAGACGCTCCCTGGGCTGTCCCCGCCGGACGGAGCAGGAACCCGCGTGTCCTACGCCTTCTGGATCATGGCCCTGATCAACGTGAGTGCCACTGGGATGGCGGGGGGGGGGGAGGGGGGGTCAGTCACAGCTGCGAGTACCAGTCCATCCCGGCTCCTGCTGAGGATGTTTCTGATTCTGAGAAACGGGTTGAGGCTGAGTGTGCCCTCGGGAAAGCAAGCGGGTGGGAGAGCTGACCCCCAGGATTTATCTGAGCACAAGGAGGGCTGCAGAAGCTCACCTCCAGGTCCTTCAGGGTGGCACCCTGTGACTGCAGTTCTCCGGGGAGATAGAGCAGGCCACAGGGTTGGCCCAGTGAAATCGGGGCCCGCCTTCAAGTCGTCGGTGACCCTGGGCCGGAGGCTGCGGGCCAGGCCGGGCCCTTCTCCGGGCTCCTCAACGGAGACTGACTACCTCACTGACTGGCTCAGGCACTGAGGCCCCTCTGAGCCCCCAGCTCACACCCCCTGCCATCAGCACAGACTCTGGTCTCTGGCTGGAAACCTCCTCGGCTGCTCTGTGACCCACGCCGGGTTCCCCCATGGTAGCTGGGCTGGGGCAGAAGGAGAGGTGGGGGGACTCCCCCACCCCAACCTCCGGCCCTGTTTGGGAGGGACTGTCAGGAGCGGCCCTGGCCCCCTGGCTTGGGCCCAGCAGGGGCTGGGAGTGCGGAGTGTTCCGGTGGCCCCTGGCCTGCTGGCTGTGGGATGGAGTCACCGTGCGGCTTGTCACTCTGACTCAGAGCTTCTCCTGCACTGAGCGGACTTGTCACCCCCAGAGGCTGCCCGGCTGCTGCTGGGACTGAGTGCTGCTGTGCAGGCAGCACTGAAAGGGGCTCTTGAGACCACCTGGTCAGCCCTCTGAGCCTCGGTGTCACACCATCACCGCTCATGCCCTGACGGGGGCCAGCAAGAGGCCAGGCCGGGCTGGAGGCCCGACTCCTAGCACAAACCTCCTACCTGCAGCCACTGCTCATTGTCCTTCCTTCTCCTTCGTAACTTCCTGTTCCCCAGAACAGAATCTCCCCCTCTTCCCCTCTCACTCCGCTCCCTGCCTTTTCTGCCGGCCCATCATTGCTTGGGAACAAGGCCGTGTTGGGCCGCGATGTCCAAGGAGACCCTGCACCGGGAAGGAGCAGTGTCAGCGCCATGTCAGCTGGGGCTCTGGGGCCAGGAGGCTGGAAGGTCCACAAAAGCCCCAGGCTTCCTCCTGCCCCCCAAGGTGCCGGCTGGGGGCGCTTTCTCCTGCCCCCCAAGGTGCAGGCTGGGAGCACTTTCTCCTGCCCCCCAAGGTGCAGGCTGGGGGTGCTTTCTCCTGCCCCCCCAAGGTGCAGGCTGGGGGCGCTTTCTCCTGCCCCCCAAGGTGCAGGCTGGGGGCGCTTTCTCCTGCCCCCCAAGGTGCAGGCTGGGGGTGCTTTCTCCTGACCCCCAAGGTGCAGGCTGGGGGCGCTTTGTTGGCTGCAGGGTTTCCGTATTTTTTCCATCGCTTTGTGTCTGAAGGTAAACAGCCCACACAGAAGAGAATGAGCCATGCGAGCGAGCATGTGGGTGATGGTGGGTGGGTGTGCGCGCACGCACACACACACACACACACGCACACGCACGCACGCACACACATGCACACATATATACACATATGCACACACACGCACGCACACATACACACACACTTATACACACGCACGCACACACACATGCACAGCCCACCTGGCACTCTCTGACTTTCAAGGTGGCTTCTTCTGGAGATGGCGTGTGTTCCTGTGGCAATGCCAGGTGTGCGTCTCCCCACCACCCGCCTCCCTGGAAGCCCCGCCTGAATGGCCCCTTCGCAGCCGTGTGCCTTGGCCCTCACTCGGCATTGGCCTTCTGCACCAGCGGCCCCGCGTGGGTTTCCTGTTCCCCCATCGGACCGGAGGGAGAGCTTCGCCACCCAGACCCGGCCTCCTGAGGGCGGGAACTGTCTCCCTCCATTCGGGCCCAATCGGTGGCTCTCGCTCTCCAGGCAGAGTCTGACCTTGGACTTATTTTTGAGGGTGGAGGGAGGCTCCCAAGGTGCCCACAGGGCGTGCCAGCACAGTCTGGCGTGCAGGTGGCTTGGAAAATGCTGGACCGAGCCAGCCTGGCTGCCGGCTGGGGAGGCTCCCTCACAGCTGCCCAGGCGCACTTTCCCTCTCCCCTCCGTCAGGCAGAGGAGCCGCGGCCTCAGGGAAACTTCCAGAGCTCCCGAGCTGCCTCTTTCCTAAGAGGAGGAACTATGTGGGAGGCGGCAGCGAGGGCAGAGGCCGGACTGGATGAGGCCCTCCTGGCAGCAGGTGGTTGGACTCGTGCAGGGCACCCGAGGGAGGTGGCGGAGGCTTCTCCGGGCTCCTCAGACAGGATACCCTCCTCCCTGCTCTGGGAGTTCGTGACGCCTGAGCGGCTCCCCTAACACTGGGCTTGGGTGTGTTGCTCGTAGCCGGCATTTTTAAATCAAAAGGAGTCCGAGTCTCTTTCCCATTTAGACACCAAGCCCCCGCGGACAGCCTCTGCCTCCTGGGGTTTAACATCACCCAGACAACCCCTGAGGTGGCGATGGCACTGGGCAGAAGCAGGGTGCCCGGGTGCCAGCCCTGCTCTGCCTGACGTCAGCTGTGTGACCCGCGCTAATGCTCGCTGGGCCTCTAGCTCGCCTCTCAGGTCTCTTCCAGTTCTAAAGGGTTCTGACTAAGTGATAACTTTGAGCCTCACTGGCCCCATCTGGAAAATGGGGATGGTAACCCCCCCAGCACGGTTCATAGAGCCGAGATGAACCAAAGCAGAACTTCTTTGGAAATGAGTTTAGCTCTGGCACCTCTCCTGGCCAGCAGAGGCCGGTGCGAGTCTACGCTTTGCAGGTGGCACATACCTGTCTTTTCAGGGAAACAGGGGCAGTCCAGGTTGGGCAGCAATTCCACCAAGCCTGCGCGGGGTCGAGGCTGCGTTCGCTGGGGGCGCCTCTTAGGTGGGCACCCTTGGAAAAGAGCTGTCTTCTCCCAGGACCGCGCAGACCTGCGCCCCACGACCGTGCGGGCGAACGCAGTGGGCCAGGCGTGGGAAGGGGGGAGCCTGGCGGGAACAGGGCTCTCCTGACCCTCTGCCCACCCCCAGCTCCCGGTGCCCATGGCTGTGCTGTATCTGCTGTCCAAAGAGCGGCTGCTGACCTGCTGCCCGCAGAGGAGGCCGCTGCTCCTGTCTGCAGATGAGCTCGCCCTGGAGACACAGCCTCCCGAGAAGGAAGCCGCTTCCTCGCTGCCCCCAAAGGTTCAGTCACACCCAGGTGGGGGCTCTCACGGACCTTCATGTCACAGCCCCACACCGAGGCTCCTCCGGTAACCCCTCCCCCAGAGGGTGACCGTAGGTCACAGGCGATAGAGGTTGGAAAAGAACCTTGGCGCCAATGGTCTCATGAGGCAGGAGATGGAGCAGCCTGGCCAAGGGAACCAGGAAGGCAGACTTCCAGCTCCAACCTTGCTGTGTGACCTTGGGCAAGTTACTTGACCTCTCTGAGCCTTGCTTCCACCAGGACTGAGAGGTGGCCAGGGGCTGATTCTAACAGATGGTTGGTTGAAGCTAGAGAAGGTAGGAGGCCGTAGGTGGTCCTCCATGCCGCCAGCCACGTCCCCTGGGCACGCAGAGGCACGGGGCGGGAGCAAGGCTCAGCCCTGCTCTTCTCGTCTCATCCAGTGCACGAGGACCTGTTCAGCTGCTGCCGGAGGAGGAACTTCAGAGGAGCCCCTTACTCCTTCTTCGCCATCCATGTCACAGCTGCCCTGGTCCTGTTCATGACCGACGGGATGACGGTGAGCCTGCCCCCGGGGCACCCCTTCCTGGGGACCCCCCGCCCGAGACTCCAATCTGGGGATGGCAAGAGAAGGAGAGAGGCATCAAGGTTTCCTAGAGCCCTCACCTGTAGTTCAGTCGATCCAAAACTTCAAACTGAATAGAAGTTCTGGGGTGGCTGTTTCCAGAATTGCTCACAGCCCCTTGGTACTACGGTCTTCTGTCCCAGCCAATGGTTTACATGTTCGTTAACTCTGGAGAGAGGGGCCTATGGGTTTGTTACTAAGTGCAGGCCACCCCGAGTTTTTTTTTTTTAACATATTTTATTGATTTTTTACAGAGAGGAAGGGAGAGGGATAGAGAGTTAGAAACATCGATGAGAGAGAAACATCGATCAGCTGCCTCCTGCATACCCCCTACTGGGGATGTGCCCGCAACCAAGGCACATGCCCTTGACCGGAATCAAACCTGGGACCCTTGAGTCTGCAGGCCGGCGCTCTATCCACTGACCCAAACCGGCCAGGGCCCACCCCGAGTTTTTTAAAGGGGCAGAGCCCTGTTCCGCCAAGCAGAGGTCATACCAGGTGAACTCAGCGGCACTCTGCTCCCTGGAATACATCCCGCACCTGGGCTCCTTCGCCACGTCGCACAAACCAGCCACAGATATCGGGGCGGGGCCCAGCGGTTCAGTCTGCTGGTGACCTCTGTCACACCACATAATGCCTTTTTCTAGAAATCTCTAAGGGTTAGATTAGGATGGTGTGAATGGCCGATTCACTGATGGCCACATGAGGGGCTCTCCAGAGAGAAAGCCCGCACCCTCGGCGACCTGGCGGAAGGTGCTCGTGTCGGCCGGCGCTGGTTGACTTCCAACTCGCAGTGTGACCTCCTCCACCCTCTCATCTGTAAAATGAGATGCTGGTACACACACTCTTCAGCAAACGTCCTTCAACAAAAAGCTTTCTGTGGAATCAGGACAAATAAGACACGTAGTGGGACCCGGATCTGGTGAGGGGCCACGGAGCTCCCGCACCGCCCTGGACCCAGAGGCCAGCGCAGGTGCAGCCGGGAGCCGTGGCGCCCAGGGTCTGTCCTCCGCTCCGGCCTGTGTGCACTGTGTGATCTTGGCCCCAAGCCCACCCTTTGTGGAGCAGGAGGGTCCCCCGACACCTGCCCGGCCAGGGCTTCGTTTCCCTGGGGTCTGGTCTGGCCGCGCTGCGGGTGTGCTCAGCGGGCCCGTCTCCACAGGGCGCGTATTCCACCTTCGTGTACAGCTATGCCGTGGAGAAGCCCATGTCGATGGGACACAGGATGGCTGGCTACCTCCCCAGCCTCTTCTGGGGCTTCATCACCCTGGGTCAGCTCGTCTCCATCCCCATCTCCTCCCGCGTGAGGCCGGCCACCATGGTTTTCATCAATGTGGTGAGTGGCCTCCTCTTACTTCCTGGAGCCTCAGGAGAAGCATTCACTCCTGGCCCTACCACCGCCCCAGGCCTTTGCTCAGGACTGAACTCTGCCAATGGGGTGCGATGTCGGGGGAGAGGGAGGGGGAGATGCTGGTGAAGAAGGGTGGAGATCCAGGAGGTGGAGCCTACCCTTGTGCCCTTGCCCTCCCCCCATCTGTACTCCGACAGGGAAGGAGGCGATTCCTGTTGTGTGTGGGTAGGTCCCAGCTGACAACCTGCCTGCAAGGGAAGCAGGTTCTGGCGTTGGTCCTCCGTGTCCACCTTGGTGCCCAGCTGGCAGAGCCTGTGACCAGTGGAAGCCAGGGGACCCCGGGCCTTCAGAATCACCCTCTCCGGGCTGGAACCTGGCATTTGCATTTTGAAACTCTCCCAGGTGGTTCTCTAGCAGCCAGGCTGGCATGTGGGCTGCCGTCCAGGAACTGGTCTGCCCAGGAGGCGGGAGGTCGGAGCCTGAGTGATGGGTCTTAGCTTTCACCCTGAAATGTATCTCTGGCACCACCTATGACCAAGGGTCCGGATTCCAGATTCCAGAAAGGTCTCCACCCAACCTCCTGGAAGGGCTGGACTTACCTCCATAACACCCCTGTGCAGAGGAGGGGCACACGGCCTGTTCAAACCCCCAGGGACTGGGAACTCACTCCCTGCCCTCGTAGCCCCATTTGTTGTCAGAAAGTCGAGTTTCTAGCAGAGGGTTAGGAAATACTGTTGGGGCTACACAGACCAAACATGATGAGTCCCAAGAAAGGTTTTGGATTTGCCTTGTCCTGGTTTATGACCTTCCAGAAAGAAATTTCCCATCATCCAGCTCCACAAATACCTCTGTGCCTGGACTCACACCCGTCCCTCCAGCACGACCTTGAACCCGCAATCCAGGCACGTGCCCTGACCCAGAACCCAGCCGGTGACCTCCTGGTGCCTGGGCTGATGCTCAACCACTGAGCCACACCAGCTGGGCCCAGATGCACTTTGTATAGACATTAGCCGATATTGACAAACACATTTTTTATTTTTTTAAATATATTTTTATTGATTTCAGAGAAGAAGGGAGGAGGGGAGAGAGATAGAAACATCAATGAAGAATCATTGATCGGCTGCCTCCTGCATGGCCCACACTGGGGATTGAGCCCGCAACACAGGCATGTGCCCTTGACCGGAATGGAACCTGGGACCCTTCAGTTCACAGGCCGATGCTCTATCCACTGAGCCAAACCAGCCAGGGCGACAAACACATTTTTAAAAGGAATTTTAAAGGGTTGTTTTACCAAAAACATTCCCATGGGGCAGTCCCCTGACTGAACTAGAAAGATTGCTGGTCCCCTGGCCCATCGCAGGGGCTACCATCTGCCGGTGGAGTCTGAGCCGAATCTGGGGGGAGCCACGCTGACCATCTCTGGGAGTCCTGTCGGGATTCCTGGACGCTGGGGGTCCTGCAGCCACCACCACTCTCCTGCGACTGGGGCTTCCTCCGTGAGCTCCGGGCCTTTAAGGAAGCAGCAGTTCCTCTTCGTGGGGAGTGTGACCCCGCCTCTAGCTGCAGGCACAGAGCTAATGACTTGGATGGAGTTCCCTGTGTTTACAGGCAGGGCCTTGGGGGCAGTCAGGACCCCTCACCAAGCACTTGTTGAGTGTGTGTGGTGGGCCAGTTGTTGGCGATGGCTGGCGGGGGGGGGGGGGGGGGGGGGGCAGGGGGGGCGCACCTTCTCCCGGCCTCACGTTCTCTGGGCTGGGTTGGCAGCCAGGACTGCGGAAGGTGCAGTCCCCACCTCTTCCACAGGGTGGCACACTGGTCACAGCGCTGTTCCTCACGCCTGAGTGTCCGACTCCTGCGGGTTTTTCTCTCTGATGGACACGCAGCCTTTCCCAGTTTCTAACCACCTCCGTCACCGCCGTGACAGGTCGGCGTGGTGGTGACACACCTGGTGCTTCTCGCTTTCTCCTACAACGTCATCTTCCTGTTCGCGGGCACCGCCTGCCTGGGCCTGTTCCTCAGCAGCACCTTCCCCAGCCTGCTGGCCCACACGGAGGACATCCTGCAGTACAAGGGTGAGTGTGCACGTGTGCAGGGCGGGCGCTCCCTCTGGCCGGCGCCGCCTCCCGCCCTCCCCGTCTCCTGCGATGCTCCTGGCTGGTGGGAACAGGTTCTGATCCAGGTGGCTCCCACTTCAACAGGATACCTCAGTGTGTGATTTCAGGCCTCAGAGAAGCAGTACGTTCCTCTCGCCCACTTCCTTTTCCCCGGAGTGATCTCTGCTGACCCACAGTTGGCGTGTTGTGTGACATGCGTGGACATTCCAAGTAGCACAGAAGTCACAGCCTAGGAGAGGGGTTTTACACCTCAGCAGTCATAGTGGCCCCTTGCTGGTTCCCGTGGATACTGCTCCAGACACAGAGGCTTGGAGCCAGCACCCACAGCTGCTGTGGGTTGTGACGCTGCTTCTTTGATGTCAGAAACCTCGAATTCTCTTCCCTAGTTTCCTTCTCTTTCTGTAGCCTCTCAAATGCAGGTGGCAGAAATCTTTCGTAAAACAAGTTCATTGAAAATAGTTGTGTTTCAAACAGTTAACGTTACCTTTAGAACAGCGGTTGCCAACTGGTGGTCCGTGAGGTCCGAAAGGTTGGCGACCACTGCTTTAGAAGTAACTGGAGATGCCTGCCTAGACCAGTGGTTCTCAGCCTTGGCTGATTTCTGGGCCTCACCCTCCAGAAATTCTGTTTCTTTGTTATGGGGTGGGGCCACAACATTAGTAACAAACAGAATTTCCAGAGGATGAGGCCCAGAAATCAGGATTTTAAAAAGATTCCCAGGTAATTCTAATGTGCAGCCAAGGTTGAGAACCACTGCTCTAGGCCTAGAGTGTCGGAAAAGCAGCATTAAAGATGGGTGGTTTCTTTAGAGGAGGAAGGGGGGAAATTGGTGTATTGGGGAGGTGACGGCAGGGGAGGGGGGTCAGAGCAATTAGAGCTGCACCCAGCTTCGTCCCATAGCAATGAGACAGGAGACCTGCATCCTTGAAATCTAAGGATAATCCCCAAACCTCAAGCGAGTAAATGAAGTCGGGAGATAATGGTGATGTATGTCACACTATATCCCACAGTTTTAAGTGACCAACAGATGTTAGCGTTTAACAGGAGTAACAGCGAGTGATAGTGGTGGGTTCTGCCTGCAAATGGTCACTCAGACCCATCTTCTCTTCATCTCTCCCCACCCTGCCTTAGCTCGGGCTCCATCACTTACCTGCTAGGACTCTAGCAGCACCCAGCACCCAGCTTTCCCCGGTGTCTGATCACCTCCTTCGCTGCCTTGGCAGGTCTTGGCGTGTCTCCTTGCCTTCACCTTTGCCCCCATCAGAGGTTCAGTGCTGGTTCCCCATGAGAATCACCTGGAGCGCTTGTTACAAAACCCAGTGCCTGGGCTTCCGCTGCACCAAGTCTGATGTCACTGGTCGGGAGCTGCTGGGTGATTCTAACGGGGAGCCAGGGCGAGGGCCACTCACTCACGCAGCCGTCCCCGGAGCTGCCACAGGGGGCTGCCTCCACAGCTGGCCCTGGCCTTCCTGTCTTCCCGTGGGCTCTCTTCCTTTCCCCGTCCTTCTCCCACCCTGCTCCCCCTCAGAGCTGGCATTCCAGCCGGCTCCTCCCTGACAGCACATGAATCCTCAGCATGGAAAGCCTTCGACTCCGTCCCTCCCGGAAGCTTCCCTGATCCCCTCTGAAAAGGTACCCCCTCCTCTGCTTCTCATGTTTGATCCCCTCAAGGCTTTTGTACCGAGTTACTGCATCTTCTCCTTGACAACACACTCCCCATGGGCACCAGCAAGGGACAAGGGCCGGGGCGAGGGCTGTGAGGTCATCAGCAGACCCGGGTATCCGTCTGGCCTGCCTCTCTGGCTTTGTGGCCGTGTGATTCGATTTCTTTCCCCGCTCCGAGCCTCCGTTTTCTCATCTGAAAAGTGGGGATGCCAATGCTTCCCTGTGAGGTTTTGTGCGTTAGAGGAAATGTAAAGCTCTTGACTCAGCCGCTTAACTGGCTCCCAGGTACCCAATATATATATGTTAACGCTAATTATTCATCGGTGTTTATCACAGTACTTGATGCTCAGAAGGTACTGGAAGGTTTTTGAATGAGTGGAACAGACAGTGGGTGCCACTGGGATTCAGAGAAGCGAGTGACCAGTGTTAAATCTCGAGGTAGCTTCATGGAAGAGATGGGACGTGAGCTGGCCCGGAGTTCGGAAAGGCGGAAGGAAAAAGGAAAGGCATCCGGGGAAGGGTGGGGCGGGGCAGTGGCCAGTGTGAGAGCAAAGGCACAGAGACAGGAGGAAATGATCTGCTTGATTCAAAAAACACTGTGTCTACCGTCCGTCCGTCCGTGGGCCACTGTGCGATGATAAGCAGTGATGTATCCACTGCACTAACAGCCAAGGCCCGTCCTCTCTCAGGGGCTTAACCCCAGTGGGCGAGGCTGCCCAGGAGACAGACGGGGGGGGGGGGCAGGGACATGAGACGGATGAGGGGGCTGAGGACGCACAGAGGAGCAGCAAACCCAGGTTGAGGGATGGGATGAGAGAACAGAAGGAAATCCAAGCAGGACTGGAAGCTGAGGAGGAGGAGGAGGAGGAGGAGGGAGAGGAGGAGGGGAGATGATGCATGTGTGGGACCAGGGGGTGAGTGTGAGGTTCTCCGGGCTGCAGGGCAGCCTGCCAGCAGGGAGTGTGAGCTGAGTCTGCGCTCTCAATAGGCACAGGTTGAAAAGGGCCCTGGCAACCCCGGCCCGGCGCTCGGACTGGATCCTGAGGCAGCGCTGGAGGGTTTCAGCAGGGAGCTGGCCTGGCTTCGGGGGTTTGCCGTGTCCAGGGCTGTGCTAAGCACTCCGTGCCTCGCACCGGCGTGACCCACGCACCAGCCCTGTGACGCCCATTTCACAGAAGGAAACCGAGGCCCAGAAAAGGGAGAGAACTTGCCTCAGGTCACAGAGCTGCAGGGGACACGGCGGGGTGTGGGCCAGGCTGACTCTGAAGTGTGGGCTCTGAAAGTCGGTGCCAGGCTGGTGAGCGGGGCACTGGTTGGGGCAGTGCCAGGGCGTCAGGACACCCTTCTGCCCAGAGTGGAGGCGGCCTGGGGTCAGGTCTGTCGGGAAGGGGGGGCGGGCACATTGGGAAGGGCCCTGAATGCCAGGCTAAGCACCTTGGAATTCACCAAGGAGACAAGGGTGAACCGTTGAAGGTCTCAGAACGGGAAGGGTCGTAATGACGGCAGGACCTGAGCATCCCCAAAGCCCGGTGAAGAGCTCAAGTCTGGCCCTGGCTGGTTTGGCTCAGTGGATAGAGCATCAGCCTGCGGACTGAAGGGTTCCAGGTTCCATTCTGGTCAAGGGCACATGCCTGGGTTGCGGGCTTGATCCCCAGTCGGGGACGTGCAGGAGGCAACCAATCCATGATTCTCATCATTGATGTTTCTCTCTCTCTCTCCCTCTCCCTTCCTCTCTGAGATCAATAAAAACATATTTAAAAAAAAAAAAAAGAGCTAAAGTCTGAGAAGCCTTAGGAATGGCAAGGAGTCCTCCTAGGCAGCCATGCTGCTTCCCGGACACCTCCCAGAGTAACCCGGAACACGCCAGCTGCCTCTGTCTAACTTGTTCTCACTAAACCAAGCCCTTCTCTTTTGGGTAGGCTGTGCGACCACGGTGCTGGTGACAGGGGCAGGACTTGGCGAGATGTCCCTCCAGATGCTGGTTGGCTGGGTAAGTGGAAAACTCTGGGGGCGGGGGAGGAGCACTTGGGGTGCGCTCCTTCAGCAGGTGGGAGGGCAAGCGGGCCCACTCGGTGCTACCTGCCTCCGTTGCTGAGCCAGCCCTGGAAGCTGAACCTCCAAATGGGGAACCTGGAGCTGGGAAGGGATGCAAGAGGCCAAGGCAAACACAAGTCATGTCTGGGAGCAGGGCCAGGGGGCCCCGTGGGAACGTTTAGCTCCCGGGCCTGGGATGGATTGCGCTGCAGAGTTCTTTGTCCATCGCTTCTCAACCGGCCACTCCCTCAGCCTGCCTCTCGGAGCCTCTGGCCACCTACAAAGGGCCCAGCTTTCCTGCCCGGACCCTGCCCTGGCCCTGGGCCGGCTCTCAGTTCTTGTCCCACACCCACCGTGCATGTGTTCACCAGGGGAAGTAAGTCTGCTTTTTACCGAAGACTGGAGTGTAGACATCGTCACCCCCTTTCTGCAGCGGAGGGTACTGTAGCCCAGATCAACGAAGCAGCTCCCCTCAGTCTCACACTTCTAGTGACTGTCGGGTGACTTCCAACCCAGGTCTTTCCGTCTCCAAAGTCCCTCCTCACTGCTCCCCTGCCCTCTGCTCTGGCCTGCCGGGCGGGGAAGAGCTGCATCGTACAGGGCCCTCTGCGTGCAGACGAGGGGGCTTAGATGGGCTTCAGTGTGGTCTCGGGAGGCTACGGAGGAAACTGGTGCTAATTGCTGAAGTTGGTGGTGGGCCCATGGGCATTCCACATGCAACTTTGACGTGTGTGTGTGTATCTGCGTATCTGCAAAGCTCTGGTCAGGCCTCGTGGGGAGAGGAACACCTAGTGTGACTGGAGTTTTAAGGAAGACAGGGACGTTATTCAGAAGGTTCCAGGCACAGAGCTGAAAGGGACTGCCGGGGTCCCCGGGCCCAGCCCCTGCCGTGGAGGATTTCTGTCGCCTCCAGAAACATGACCTTGAAACGAGGCCAACATGTTCCTGCTGCCCACGTTCCTGTCTATCAGTGTGACCGTCCCCGGCTTGGCTAGAAAACCCGCCGAGGGCCCCAGCAGGCCGCTTCCGCCCATACAGCTTCGTGTGAGGTTTCGATGGCCCCTGTCTCTGTGTTTCCCCTTTGGCAGGTATTCCAGGCTCGGGGCAGCTACAGCTTCCTGGTCTGCGGCGTGATCTTTGCCTGCTTGGCTTTTACCTTCTACATCTTGCTCCTGTTTTTCCACAGGATGCACCCTGGACTCTCATCAGGTAGGGAAAGGAGCCGTGTCTGCACAAGGGGAGGAAAACAGAGGGGGGAGGACGTGGGAGATGCTCTGGACCTCAGCACGCCACCAGGGCTGTTCTGGTCCAAGAAAAATGCAAGGAAATGTTTACTTTTCCACAGCTTCCTCTCCCCTCTTCCTGCTTTGCCAGGCGATTGTCTGCGCTGCGAGCAATGAGGGGCTGGCTCATGGTTTCTCTACTAGGAGAGGGGCATGGACGTGAACTTGGCTTCCTGCATCCCACGGGCCTCAGGTCCGCGGGCCAGGTCTCTCCCGGCCTGCGCGGGGCCCTGAGCGGCAGAGCCTGCCTCCTTGGCTGGAACTCAGCCCAGCAGCCCAATTGGCCCTCTCTCTGCAGTTTAGGATTTTGACTCGAGTCCAGATCTTTTTGTCAAAAAGAAGTCCTCGGGCCAAGTGGCAAAGAAAAGCTCCTTTAGGACAGAGGCACACCTAACAGTCTCACTGCTGCAGAACCCAGGCTGGGGGAGTCCCACAGCTATTTTCATTGCCTGTGCCCTCCCCGGCCTTTCCGCCCAGAGCTCTCAACGTCCCCACAACTGCTTCAGCCGTGCATGTGGCCAGGCCCTAAGGCAGCGGTTCTCAACCTGTGGGTCGCCGACCCCTTTGGCGGTAGAACAACCCTTTCACAGGGGTCGCCTAAGACCATCCTGCATATCAGATATTTACATGACGATTCATAACAGTAGCAACATTACAGTTATGAAGTAGCCACGAAAATAATTTTATGGTTGGGTCACATGAGGAACTGTATTTAAAGGGCCAGAAGGTTGAGAACCACTGCCCTCAGGGAAGGTGCCCAGGCAGAGCCTTCGTCCTCCCCATGAAAAGCAAAGTGTGAAGGGACAGGCAGCCACAGTCCTCTGGGCAGTGGACACATGCCCGCTTTGAGCAATCAGTGTAGAAGCCCAGAAGAGCAATGGGGGGGGGGGGGGCCCAATCAGCTCTAACGACAGTCGTGCCAATAGGGGGCCGGTACCAACAGCCATCTAGTCCAGCACAGAGCCTCCCTTTAGGCCACACATTCAAGAAGTGTTTGCTGAATGTCAAATGAGTGACATTGAACAAATTCCCTAATCAAGGGAGACAAAAAGAAATACATATTCCCTAAGCCCCAGACACTAGTCTCAACAAACTGCCTCCACCAACAGTTGCCAGAACCAGTAGGTCTAACTTGGCACCTGGCTCTCTAAGGAGCCACGGGCAGCAGAGAAGCGAGGCGGGGGAAGCTCTCAGAACCAGCGCTGGCTGCAGCTGAGACGTGCTGCCTGGTTTTTGTTGTTGTTGTTGCAGCAGTTCCTCCCCAGGACAGACCATGCGGGACGGAAGGCTCCGAATGCTACCAGAGGTAGAAGTGGGGGAAGGAGGCAGGCGAATACATCGGCCTCTCGAGCACCAGCGGAGACCAGAGCGTGGAAGAAAGCTGGCCGGAAGCAGAGGCCATCGGTACCCCGGCGCCTCGGTCAGGTCTTCTCCACTAAATACTGGCGTAGAAGGAATTAAATCGCGTTCTGGTACCTGGGTCCTCCCCGGGCAAATCATTAGGATTTTACTCGGCTCGTCCAGCGACTTCCCTCCTCCCTGGGGGGACTTGGTCAGAGCTGCCCAGGATGCCGCTGGAGAGGAGGAGGAGACACACTTCACTCTACTGGCCGCCTCCTGCATGGACCACACCCCAGGTTTGAAGATCACTCTTAGATGATTTTGAAAATACAGGTTGAAATCATAAAGCTTGATGATCACTGTTCTATGTAGATCTACTTTAAGTTAATCAGAACCAACCCGTTACTCCGTGGCATGCTCCTAGGATTTATGTGCTTTTTCCTTATTCACAGTCCAGAGTCCCTCAAATTCCTGCTGCTGGTATCAGTAGCTCATCCATGATCTAAAATGGCAAAAGGAAACGTTGAATCTTGCTTTCTTCGGGACACTAATTCAGCAGTATGCTGGGCTAGCTCCTACCAGTTTATAAGAAAAAAAAAAAGGCTGATCGTTAAAATTTCATTTTGAGAGCTGTTTGTTAAATGCGGCCGTTATTACAATTTAAATGATAGAAACTTACAATTAAATTACATTAAAGACAAAGGTAATGCCTACTCAAAACTCATCACTTCCTGATTTTTCTATGTCTGTGCTCTTGGAGGAATTGATGACTGTCGTGTCTGTATTGTAGAAATACTATCACTTTCAGTGATAAGGTGTTGCTGACTCCAGGTCAGCCAGAGTGGGAGTATTTACACCACAGAAATCGGCAAAAGCTACAAAGCCTGGCTTTTCTCCCCTGGAGGTGCAGGTGTTAAACATCTGCCAGCGCACCACTGCTAGTCATCAGTGCGAACTGGTCCGGAAGTTGCCCGAGAGAATGAGATGGATGTTCTGTTTTTCTTTACTGACATTGACTAGCTTATAAAAGGTGTAGAAACGGCTCTAAGAATTTCTCAAAAACATCCAATTTAAACTTTACTTCTATAGAGAAAACAACTCTTTACAGGCATACCTCAGGGATATGGCGGGTTCAGTTCCAGACCATCGCAATAAAGCGAGTGTCACAGTAAAGTGAGTTGCAATCTTTTTGCTGGTGGAGGCTCTCGCCTTCAATTTGTTAAAAAAAAAAAAAAAAAAGGCAACACAATAAAGCAAATCACAATTAAATGAGGTATGCCTGTGTACCAATGTCAAGTTCTTGGACAAAAATGGGACTTCTGAGCAATTCAAGCTGCGCAGTATCCTGAAAGCCGTGCCTGCCCGTACAGAGCAAGTCCCATAGCTCTACACGCTCGGCGACCTGGAAAGGGGTGAGCCCTGAGACTGTAAGTCATGAGGTGGCTGTCACAGTGACTGTGTTTAGTCCACCTGCTCTTTCTGTCTGTATACACGTGTACACCTATAAAAAGTAAGTGGATCCTGATTCTCAGTAACCTGTCCAGGAACTCGGTTCGCATGCCCGACATGAGAAGGTGCGTCTGGGCCTGTAGGCGCGGCTGTGAGCAGCCAGCAGCAGGGAGTGGCACTCACATCCGCCTGCGGAGACCCCGCGCGGCGCTGGCCCCCGCTCCCCGCTGTGGCCCTGGGCAGGGACGACACGGATGCTCTTCCGGCTTCGCTGTTTTAATCTGTAAAGTGACATTTCTAGAAGGAATTACCCTACCTCAAAGGAATTCTGAAAAAATTTGGTGAATGTAATTATTCATATGCCTGACAGCTTAGAAATTGTTCATATGTTTGTTGTATGTTTATGGTAAGTCAAACAGATCCAAATTCTTTTGGAAGCTGGTGGGCTAGGGGTATAGCTTTAACTATGTCTGTAAACACTTAAAAGTATTCCATGCCAGCCAAACCTAAATGTGTAACCTAACGGTAGGGAATGGCTAACCGGGGCAAAAAGAAAACAGCTGTATTTTTCTTGTGGCTTTTTTCAAGAAAACATCCTTTTTATACAGAGTTAGAAAGAAGAATCCGTGGCTACATCTACGATGACCAAGATTAATTTGTGACTATAGAAAACAAGATTGAGACAAATTTCTTGCCTTTTCTAAAATAAAACATTTTAAATGGAATAAGTGTGTTATCTATTGTCAAGGGCAATTGATCCTTTTATATAACCCTAGAAACAAATGACCAAATGTTCCCCCAGAGACAGGTCTTTATCGTAGTGTGAGTTCGCATGGCTAATGTTTTAGAAGAAACAAGATCTTACCACACAGGCCTGAGAACCACGACTCCCTCTCACACACGATCCGGATAAGGAGAGGCGGGTGGGTGTTGATACCAGGCTGCACACTCAGTTTTCTGATCTTCTTTTTAAGAGTTCGGAGGTTCCAGGCTGCTGTGGACTTGCCGTTTCCGGATTTCCCTCTGCTACTAGACGCGGGGACGGGACCCAGCATCAGTGCGCCAGGTTCACTAACGGGAGGTATCGTGACAGGTGCTGGAGAGAATTCACTTATTCATTCAAAAGGATTTGTTGAGCACCTACTATGCTCAAGGCACTGATCTATGTGCAAAGATAGAGCAGAAAATGAGATGCCAGTCCCTGCCTCCCAGAGATTACGCTGCAGCTGAAGACATACAGACAGTGAACAGAGATAACGTGCCACAGGATGCGTGATAACGGAGGGCCACAGAGAAGAGTAAAGTAGGGAAAGGGGTGGGAGAAGGAATGTCACGCGATGGTCTGGAAGGCCTTTCTAAGGAGGTGCCGTTTGTGCAGAAACCTGAGTGATGGACAGGAGCAAGCCATCCAAGTAGCCGGGAGAGACTGCACCAGGCAGGAGACACACAAGTGCCAGGGCCTGAGGCTGCATGTGCTTGCCCGGTGAGGGCTGGAGAGGGGCCGTGTGCTCCATGCATGAGGGAGGAGAAGAGGGGCAGGAAGTAGGTGGGAGTGGAAGCGAGGGCCAGATCATAGAAACCGTGTTAGGAGTATAGATTTTTTTTTTATGTGAGTTATTAGGAGAGTTGTGAGCAGGTGAGGGGCAAGAATAAACTTGTGGACACAGGCAAGGTTACAATTGCAATAAACTGCATAGGAGATGGTGTCTAGGACATAGATGTGAGAGGAGGGAAATGAATAATCAATTCAGAAAGCCATTTTGTTAAAAATATTTACTTAAAAAAATACAGTTGTCCATATCTAGTTGCACATGTATCTATTAACATATCTATATAATTTGGGGCTTTAGTAAATTTGATACAGTGCTTAAAGCCAGTTAGCCATTTCATTATACAAAGCAAGTGCCTGTCCTTATATAAAATAGTTTTTTAATGTCATCTTTCTAATAAAATGCTTATCATCATTACAGAATTTAACAACATTTTTGCATAGAACTTGAAGTGATAGAAAAAAATAATCTGACTAGTTATTCAGAGCAATGTCTGAAGACCCACGGGGTATCAACCACACCTTTTTTCTTTGAAAAGCAGTGGATTCAAAGTGCTGGCGCATCCTCCCCTTCACCCACCTAAACTTGGGGTCCTGTTTCTCCGTCGTAAATAAATACAACTCAAGACTTAAAACAACATCCTTTGTTTCCCACAGGTTAGCTGGGGAGAGGGCAGTTTCTCTCACTCACATCAAAACTAATGATTTTAGTAAATGTTAGCAGTTGCCATCATTTTAATTGCCCTTTTTTTAAGGAAAAAGATTTAATACTTTGAAAGTCTCCCTAATATAAATTACACCGAAATTAAAACAAGTTCCTAATGACACTTGCACTTTATAGATAAGTATTCTATTTATACAAGAGTGGTGGATGCTGGGTATTATGAGGGACAGATTTCAAGAAAATAAACGAGGGGGTAAGTAATGAATGAAGTAACGGTCGTCTCAGTTGAGTTGATCAAGGTTTAAGGAAAGCACCCTGACAAGATATTACCACACATCCTAAAACTAAGACACTGACATAGAAAAACATGTTAATGCCATAACAGGTTTTCCTTCTGAATTATAGATTGGAAGTTAAAAGTTTATTATTTAACACCATTTAATTCTCAAGTGATGGCAACACTGAAGATCCAGTAGAGCTCATTTAAAAATTGTTTGTTCTTCAAAATACAAAGTTAAACATTTTATTTTTAGCCAACTTGATTACTGGGTGACTAAAGGGCATAATTTTAAAAAACTAATTTTAGTAACATTTTATTGCCTCAAACCAAAGCTAACCGGTAGCAAAATGACTGGATTGAGTTTCATATATAACCTTCCCTACCCACAAAGATAAACGAAACTGCCAGAAGGCAAAAGTGAAGAAACAGATATGACTATAATTAGAGACAATTGAATGGCCAAACGGAATAAACAGGCCGTAAGCAATAAAACATTAATTGTATTGATTTCTATCTGCATCTTAGTTTCACTGATACGGAGCAGGGACGTTCATCAAATATGCTACTTCACCACATAAGCAATGAATATAATATACATACAAAGGCCACTGGTGCTACAGCCCTCAAAAACAAAAAATATGAAATGTCTTAAACGGAACTGCATCCCCTAAATAACAGTAAACAACCATGATTAAACAGAAAAGAAACTTAAAACTGAATAGTTTACAAAGTTGAGTATAATCTACCAATTGCAAATCATCAAAAGCCATACATTTCTACCAAGCAGAATATAAAAGCTTGTAAGTTATTTAAAACATCCTAGGCCAAAGAGCACGCCTACAGAGCCTAGAAGAATGGTAATCCATTCACCCCTTCTCCAAACAGTCTTAAGTTCCAGAAAACATAAATGAGAAATAAACTTTAATTCCCTGACTCTAAACATCCATAACTTGGAATTAGACTAACAAAATAATCATTAAGTGCTTCCAGTTATTAAAAACAAAACAGTGCTAATAATGGTGCCCAAAAAAGTGCCACGTGAATTGATACCAATATTTGGCATTCCCACCCCTGAACTCCAGGCACACTGTAATGATGGCATTGGCTAGAACTCTGGCGCAGCCACAGGACACCCCCACCCCCGTCCAGAAGACCCCAGGCCTGTCCTAGCCCAGCTCATAATCCTCAGAGGGGACAAGAATCAGCATGGGCCCATATGAGATGGAAAACAAGGCAAAGCTGAAAACATTCAGCCCGAGATACTCTGAGGTTTCTAATACTTATGACGTACAGTTTAAGAGGTTAAATGAAGCTAAATACAATGTCAGAATTCCTCCACTATTATATCAATCCACGGGCAAATCGGTACTTCAGAAATATTATAGCATAATCCTCTCCTCTGAGAAACTTAGAACCCAATGTAATAAGGGTTTTACACAAAAGCAAAAGTAAATGTAGAAATTTTAAGACAGGACATCCTTATTTGCTCAATAATACATGAAATTAAGAGAACAGATTAAGATGACTTTAACATATGTCACATACGGCGCTGTAGTTCTAAAATATTGGCAAGCAATTAGTCTTTAAGGCCTATGAGCCTACGCATTTTAAAAACCTGAAATGTGCAAAGCATTGATTTTTAAAAAGTGGCAACTGCAAAGTGCGCCAATTTTTTTTAAGTTTTAGTATAAAATAGCCCAGGAGCCATCCTAGAGGATGAATAATAAATGGTTCCTCTGAAAAACAGATTCACACACACACACACACACACACACACACACACACACACACTCAGCCAATAAATCAGAATGCTTGGGAAGAAATGCTCTAGTATCTTAAATATTTAAAAATAAAATTTTAAACCTCATAAAACTTCCTGATGTATATTATACTCAAAAGACTAACGTTCAAGCGATTTACTATGTTTGATTGTATCCCTCATGAATTTCCTTGTTAAAGGTTTCATTTTAAATGATGTTAACGACAACTTGAGTTTTCTGGTTTCTAAAGAAAGCTTAAAGCCAACATTTCCCTGTCCACAGACCACTCTGGATTCCAGCTTTCATAATGGCGAAGCATGAATGGCTGCATCGAGAAACTGCTATATTCTGACAGGCTGTCAATCTATGGCGATCGATTTCCGCCTCCCCCCCCCACCCCCCCGAAAAATAGCTTGAAGAACCTGGCAGCTTCAAGTGGAATATTTATACTACATAAACAACTCACCTTTCAGATCTGCTCTGCTTACAGGTCAAAACTTGATTTTTATATATAACAGGTTCCGCCAAGTATGAGAAATGAAATCAAACCGCCTTCTTTTCTTGCTTAATACACTACCACCCACAAGATTTTCAGATCCTAAGATTAAAACATTGGCTTCGGAAAGCAGAATTCTGACCTAAGAGGAATAACAGAGCACCTTGTTGCAGGCTATGCCTGCAGCATTAAAAACAGTAACAACACATTTACTTGCTCCAAATCGAGAAGGTAACTAACAAAATACTTTCCATAGAACCCATTTTCTGGTCAGAGTACCTGCTAAAGAAACACAACTATGGTTTACCTCCACTTCACTACTATGGACTAATTAGCTTTTTGATTCCTTTTTAGAAACGATATATTCTCACACCCTCAGATAAAAGATTGCATATATCATGCGTCTTTTAACTTTTAATTCTTCAGAGCTCCAGGTTTCTGCTCAGGGACCTGCTTTGTCTCCACACCTGTTTACACACCTAAGAATGGTGCCTCAGCGCAGGCCTAGCTTTCTGGCATGGATAAGTAAAATAAATGAAGTGACACACAGAACAGACCCATCAAGAAAAGTATTTCTTCAGATGCTGAAATGTTGCAAAGAAAAAGAAAAGAAAAACTTACTAATGCAGCAGTAAAATGGAGGTTACTATGTATTTTAACATAAAGCAACTTAAAATAATTCTGAATTTATTGGTAAAATATAATACTAATAAGGCCAGAGAAGTTTGTGAGCAGACTAGTAAAATAAAAGCACATTACAGAGTTACACCTACTATGAAGGAAAAAGAGGCAATAGCCTGTCCAAAACAATTTTCATGAAGCTCTGGAAACCATCTGGTAATGGGTTACTTGGTGACTTATGAAAAAGGATGAATATGAAATTTCAGAAAGTTGATGACAAGCTCTCCTGAAAAATTCCAAATCTCCACGAGAGATTTTACATGAAAATCAGATCAGACATGTAAAGGATTTCTCTATACATACAACAAAAGCATCCACGGTTGGTTGGTTTTTTTCAAGATTAAACTGAGAAGCAATATCCTGAGTCAGTGGTCCTTAGAGTGCGTGTGGCCAGACAAGCCACCGGTGCAGCAAGAAACAGAACTTCTACTCAAGACTTACTTTTTTTTTCCTTTAGAGAGAGGAAGGGGGAGAGAAAGAGAAACATCGATGTGAGAGAAACATACTCGCCCAACCAGAGATCGAACCCACAACCTAAGTATGGGCCCTGACAGGGAATCGAACCTCCATCTTTTGGTATGCAGGACGAAGTTCCAACCAACTGAGCCACCCAGCCAGGGCCTCAAGACTTACTTTTTATGCCATCCTATTTCTATTTTTGTGTATGTCTTATGTACATATTACTTCAGTATAGCAGTATATAACTTAACAGGTACGAATTTGCAAGAGGGAATTTGTGTTCAAAAACTTTTACTGATCAAGGTGTCTGGTCAAAAAGGTTGGAGACTGCTTTGCTGAAATGCCAGTGAGTGTCTCTAAGGTGCTTAAAATTCACTAGAAACACAGAGAACTGCCTTTTAGAACTTTAGAAACATACCACAAATTCTGAGGTCAGGATGAAACAATGTCACTAGAGGACATGATACACTGACAGATGTGAAGGGAGCTGAAGTAATACTAGCAACAGACAGCTTAAGTGACACATAATATGGAGAAGCTAGAAACTGTATCAGATAAATAGTTCTGCCTTTTTTTTTATCTCTAACATAGTACATAAATCTTTAAGAAATTATTCCAGTTAAAAAAAAAAAATCCAGCCCTAGCTGGTTTGGCTCGGTGGATAGAGTTTCGGCCTGCAGAGTGAAGGGTCCTGGGTTCAATTCCAGTCAAGGGCACATGCCTGGGTTGCAGGCTCGATCCCCAGTGGGAGGCGTGCAGGAGGCAGCCGACCAATCATTCTCTCTCATCATTGATGCTTCTATCACTCTCTCCCTCTCCCTCCCTCTTGGAAATCAATTAAAATATGTGTGTGTGTGTGTGTGTGTGTGTGTGTGTGTGTATGTATGTATGTATATATATATATATATATATATATAAATTCCAGACCCTTTTACTATGTAGTATAGGCTCATGAGCTTACTTTTCCCATCAACATTTAAAGAAAAAGAATTAAACTTATTTTTTAACCATAAAAATAAGAAGAAAAATTCAACCTATATTTGAACTCTAAGAAGCTGAAGGTTGACCTTTAGAGGGTTTCTGGATTCTCATTATGTATAAATTTTTTTAAAAATCAATGGCAGTTTCCACCTTTGTTTGAACACACAAAATATTCCATGAGGAATCTAACATCACAAAAGCAGTGACAAACCATAAAAAAAAAAAGATTACTGAAGTCAGACATGTGGTTTTAATTTTGTATTTTTAAAAATGAGCATATGAGAAAAAGAATGTTTTAGGAACTGTGTGAAAATCCACCACCCCAGGGCGGAATGAAGGCACGGGCTGCAGGCTGAGGGTGCGGCTGTGCGCGTCCTCTCTCAGCTCCAAGGTGGTAGCTAAAATCAGCCCTACGGGGAGGAAGTCTCACATGGGAATCGGCAAATGCTACACGTCAGGGCTTCTTTTCCCCTCCAGAGAGCCTGGCAGTTAAACAGTTTCCAGCACACAACTGAGTAGATATGGACCAGAGCAGACGGAGAGCTAAGATAATCGCAGCAGATGTCTCAAAGACTCATGCAACCTGCTCCCCAGTCCCAACTTAGGCTGCCTTCGCCCACCAACATTCATCCTGGCTGAGGGGCTGGTGATGGATACCAGCGACGGCTACCAAACGGAAGTCTCTCCAGTGTACTGGTCCGAAGTGGTATGTCACCTGTGGATGCTAAGAACTCCGTGGATGCCCAAAAAAATATGGATCTGAGACTTCTCCAGGGAGGAGGTAGTTTACAAACAGAACGGTCTGTCTCAGACACTTGAGCTAAGGTTGTAAACTTTCATTTAAAAAAGGACACACACACACACACACAAAAGCTTATTAACTGATCTCAAAGAGGAAGCGAGTCACCATCTGCCTCCTAGAGGCCTCCGGGGTAGGTTTACGGACCGAGGATCCACCAACACTCGTTCCTAGGAAGTTGCTCTGACTCAGTTCCAATCCTCGCTTCCCAGGCACCCCTGTGCTGAAACAGTTAATTATGAAAGAGAGCATCTGGGAAAACAAACCAATGGCTATTCTCCTTTAATTCCAAAAGGTATTTTTTGTGCTTCCACAATTTTAAATATCTAATTCAGTCAACCCATCAGTATTTACTTATTTAATGTACAAAACGTTAAGCCACCTAATGAAACTATTCCAAAGTGCTGCTGAGAGGGCCACTTTCAAGCAGGCATGCGGACTAAACCATTCAATATGGGGGGAGTCCGGGAAGTCTGTGCATCGCTACTGAACAGCACGACCTCTCCACGCTGCTATTGCACGTCTCGGGAACAGGCCTTTCGGCTGAGACCACCGAGGAAGCAGGAATGGGTCTCCAACGCTCCGAAAGCAAAGGCAGCTCCCTGAACACTGTCCCTCCGCTACCACTGCACTAGCACAGCCGTCTTACACGAGCGCTGCTCCTCCCTGGGTGGAAACACACTTACAGACTGCACACCTGGAAAGTGCTGGTTTGTATCAGGGTCCCTTTGAGCCCTCAATTCCTTATTCCCTCATTCCATTTAGTTCCTGCGATTGAGCTATAGGAACTGTTTCTAGGGTTAAAAGAATAGTTTAATGGACAGAGTGGGGTCGGGGGGACGGAGGGGGTGGCCGCCTATACTATCTAATCCTGGACTTTAAAGCCAAGATTTTCAAAAGATTCCACTGAGACGTTGGTATCGATTCAGTTTGGGGGATCAACAAAGCTGGCATGGATGACCATAAAGTAGTATTTTATGAATTTGGTACTGTAGAGACTGGTGGGTACTGGAGGGCCCACATTTTTCACGACTAATAGGAACCATCTAATTCCTATGCATGAGAATTCCCAAAGGAATTCTGCTCCTCCCTAATTTAAAAAGAAACATGCAAAGACATCAGCACACCTTTACCTCACTACAGATCTGGAGGCTTTTCATCTTCCTAATTGCATCCTCAAAACTATCACGGCCTCTCCCAACCTTACATTTGAAAGAAGAGCAACATCCAGCGGAAAACGAGGTACAATGAACAGGAAAGAGAAAGGGTCCTTCATGCCGGGATGCATCCTCAAACTGGGAAAAGCCACTCGTGGTTTCAAGTTCTTCACCTGGATCTTTTACTCGGGGACGCCTCTAAATCTCAAAGCCCGGGCTTATTCTCCTAGAAGCGGTCATTCACCACGCGGTCGCCCACGGATGTGGAACTGTAACACCCAGCGAGCAGCCCGCTTTTCTGTGCGAGAGATGGGGTCCCCTATTCTCACCCCAGGTTTAAAAATCTCCCTCCATTAAAATGGACTAACTCCATGCTCTGTAGACAGAACAAGATCACACACATGTATGGCTGAGCGACCCTCCTAAACAAATGTAAGTAGGATGCGTCTTTGCAGAGTTGCTTTTCATAGGTTAGACTACACAGCAACATAGACAGAACCACCCCCAGAGCACTGCTCCAGTCTTCCTCCGAGTGAACAGAAATCACTCTTTTTCCTCTCCTGCTTATGCACAGCTCACTTCTCGTTATCCAACAAAGCACACTTACTCTTAGAGATGTGGCCAATTTCACTTAACTCGTGTTTCTTTAAATAATATGCTCAAAGCATAATTTTTTTTTTCCGACTGAAGGGTCCCAATAAGGCAGAAGGAATAACTTTGTTCTTAGCTGCTCTTGCAAAACATAGCTAGCTGCTAAACCCCACCAAAAATGTCCTTAACACAAAGCTCAAGTATTTGTTAGAAAAATAAAAGAAAGAAAAAGAGGGAGGTGGAGTTCAGACTCCAATTAAGGCACTTTCAAGCACAGTCCAACGTGAGTCTTCCTGGAAGGGAATCCTAACAAGGCATTTCGATGGGAATAGCAAAAGTCACGATGGTCTATTACCAGCACGTGGAACCATCCATCACTCACTCCGAAGGCGATCATGCGGAGTGTCCCTCTGTTCCTTTGTTCCTTGGTTCTCTTTCTGCAAGTGCATCGGTTATGTCTTCTGCAGATCTGGGGAAAAGGGGCCGGGGGTGGAAGGTCCATCCAGGCCAGACAGAGTGAACGGCCCATGACTGTTCAGAACAGAAGGAAACTGAGAAAGAAAAGAAAACACATTATCATCCTTGGACTCAACCAAACGTTCACTTTCTGTCCCTTCTATGTTTCCTGAGCCAGAACATGACAGCCACCAGCGGTGGCTCACAGGACAAAGGCAGTAACTGTTTATGATGAAAGAATATGATGTCATGACAAAACTTTAAAGAAAAGAATGTTGCCCAGCTGGCATGGCTCAGTGGTTGAGCGTCGACCTATGAACCAGGAGGTGGCGGTTCGGTTCTGGTCAGGGCACAGGCCCGGGTTGCAGGCTTGATCCCCAGTGTGGGGCATGCAAGAGGCAGTTGATCAATGATCCTTGATGTTTCTCTTTCTCTCTCTCTCTCTCTCTCTCTCTCTCTCTCTCTCTCTCTCTCTCCCCCTTCCTCTCTGAAATCAATAATAATTAAAAATAAATAAAAAGAAAAGAATGTTCAATATTAATACTCCCCAGCTTGCCCTGATGGAATGCAAAACACAAACCTACACCTTTCCTCATATCCTAAGGTGCACAGGATTGCATTTAACTTCAGTGGAAGGTTTTAGAAAGGTCGGTAAATAACCCTACAGAGTATATTCACTTACAAAGCAAATCGCAGACTGTCAAAGAGAGGTCCAGAAAGAGACACCCACCGGTTAACTCTATTTATAACTGGTGCAAATAGCTATAGGGTGCTCATCGCAGAAAAGGGTTCCCCATCATACGTTCTGAGGCCAATTCTAGAGGGAGATTCTAGGCCGAAGCTACCCGAGCATGACTTTGCTTAAGATCCCTCTATAACGCAATCACCGGTTTGCGAGAGGCAAAGAAAAATGAAACAAGGAAGATTCTCAACATTTTGTACTCAATAATTTAGAACTTTTTGTCAAAAAATCCAGAAGTAGGAGGGTTTTTAACTTATTTTCTTCTTTAACATTTCATTTTCAAAAGAACTAATGAAGAGTTAGATCACAGAAACATAAGACAATCCTCCAGGGAGTGCCCCCAATAGTAAATGAATCAACCACAAGAAAGCCTACCAGTTGTAAAGTCTAGATGTTCTGGGCAAAATAACAATTAAAAGCTGTGAGACTTTTCCTAAGATCTTGCTTAAGAGATAATACAATAGTCATTTGAAAACATGTATTTAAAATGTTGATAAATATATATTCTGAGGGGGAAATGGAGTATTTAATACACTATTCTCAAGAGTTTCCTCGATTTCTTTCATCCTCAGTTAAAAGGGGAAACATATGTCCAGAAACCCCCTCCACATATGTATATGTGTGTGTGTATGAATATATATGTGCATACATATTTTTCCTAATAAAAGAGGATTTCTACAGTTTAAAAATGACAAAAAACTGGGTGGTCTCAAAATCTACTCCAGTGTTGAACAGTTCTTGGTCTAACTCCAGTGCATGTAAATGGTCAACAATGAAACTTTCCTGTGAATATTTATCTGAACTGTTTGCTGGCTAGGAAATGAACACTTAGAAATTCAAAACCAAAACTAAAGAGGATTTCTTAAATAGAAGTTTTATAACGCTTCAACCGGAGAGTGGGGCCCTGTGTGTCTGCCTCTCTCTTCATTTCCCATGGCCCCTGACGAGAGACGGGCTTCCCGCCATTTACCTGGAAAAGCGTGTTAGCGCCTTGCAGTCTGGCCGGGCTGAGGGGAGCGACGGGGCTGAGGGTGCTCCAGAAGTGGATGCTGGAGAGCAAGGGGCTGGGAGTCAGTAAGATGGGCGTCTGCAACACACAAAGCACAGCGTTCACTGAGGGGCACATAGGGGTTATGCTCCATCCTGGTGGTAATACAACAATAGCCCTGAACCCAAATTCTGTCCTATTCGCCATAAATCTCTGAGTCTGAAATTTCATCACGAGGAAACACTCAGAAATTATTTTTTACAACTTAAGATAAAGGTCAAAATATTTTCTAACCTATCTTTTGTAAGGTCTTTCTCAAACAGAAAAACCGATCTGAATTCAGGGATGGAAAAGTCACACGCGTAGTTTTTCCTCAATAATGAGAAGGTCTGTGAGTGAGCCATCCATTTAAATGTTACACTTAAGCAAGGTGAGATTATCCCTGTTTGTTTGTTTTTAATAAGATTTATATACGAAAGAGAGAGAGAGAGAGAGAGAGAGAGAGAGAGAGAGAGAGAGAGAGAGAATACTTATTTTCTATAGAAGGAAGTGGAAAACCAAAATATTTCTTTACTTGTAGAACAATGAATTATTGAACACAGTGCTCCAAACCTTCTGTGTTGGTGAACCTAACTGAGCTAAGGGACTGGGGGTTACTTTCATGGGGTCATTTAAAAACCTAAGCAGCAGAATGAACACTCGAGGTGATAAATCTGGATTTGTTCGGGAAGGCGAGTACATGCAAACAACGGTGGCTCTAGAGAGAAAGAAGGCGCTAGCTACCTGTGAGAACAGTGCTGGCGTGAGAGAGGCTGTGGGGAGCGAGGGGCTCAGGATCCCCAGGGGGCTGGGGTCGCTGCCCGTGATCAGGAGGATGGGGGCCAGCTCCAGCCCCTTGGGGCTTCTTGGATCTGGACGAGCCGTTGGCTTTGTCCTTCCCCGGCAAGGCCCGAAGTCCCGGTCCTTGGGGCTCCAGGGCCAAAGCTCTCTGGCAGCCCCACAGAGTCAATGTCCGTGTCGATGTCCGGGTTGGAGCTGAGCGGCGGGGAGGGTGACCTGGGAGGCTCCTGGAAGGAAGGGGACGGGACAGGGGTGCTGGGAAACGCGGCGGCGACACTGCAGGCCGAGGCCGGGGCTTCCAGGGAAGGCAGCGTCTCCAGCGCTTGGAGAGTGTCTTCCGAAGACGGGGAAATACTGGCGCCGGTTGAAACGGTGGCAGCCACGGGTTCCACCGGTGGCTTTTTGGAAGGCGTGGTTACAAACTTAATGACGGATGGTGCCGGCTCCTGAGGTTTCTTCTCTGCCAGTTTCTCAGCCGGATTCTCAATCTTTATAGACTTGAGGAGCTTCCTCTTGGAGGAGTTCAGAGAGTTGAGGGTGAACGAAGAGTACAAGCCGGAGTGTATGTAGTCGTTGCGGCTCGAGGCCTTGGCACCGGGCTGCGGGGGCCGCTCCTTCCCTCCGCTCTCCGCGTCTCTGGAGCCGCCGCCGCCCTCACCGCCGCTCAGGGCCTCACAGTCTCCCTCAACCCTGCCCACCTTCATCGGATCCATGCTCAGAATCTCCGGGTAAGAGACGAACTTGTACACAAACTTCTGACCGTTCACTTTTTTTATGATATTCTGTAGGTAAATAAAACAAGCGTTCTTATACTTTCTTATAGCAAAATAAGCGTTCTTATACTTTCTTATCTCGCGTAGCTCGTGTAAAAACTGACCTAACGGTGTCCTGTGTGACAAGCAGCTTACTTCAAGCTTCCAATTCATCTAACACCGTGGTCGGCAAACTGCGGCTCTTTGGCCCCTTGAGTGTGGCTCTTCCTAAGCCTTAGGAGTACCCTAATTAAGTTAATAACAATGTACCTACCTATATAGTTTAAGTTTAAAAAATTTGGCTCTCAGAAGAAATTTCAATCGTTGTACTGTTGATACTTGGCTCTGTTGACTAATGAGTTTGCCGACCACTGATCTAACATCACCTTAAGTCATCCAGTCATACTCAACACAGTGCCTGCTGTTGTGGAGCATAAGTTAAGAACATTTACATGTCGTATTAACAACTGAACTGATACATTACGTAAAAGCTGAAAGATTCTGATTGCTTAACACTCTCAACCAATTATCTGTATCGTCAAAAATCGCTGACCTACACACAATCTAAAATAAGTCCAAAGGTACAAGCCATCCACATGCTGAGTAAGCAAAAAGGAATTGAAAACATCACTTCTGCTAAGGTTCCCACTTCCTTCAAAAATTCCAGTTGTTGCTTTTATGCGTGTCTCAGACAGCAAAGCTGATTAGGACCAACCACTTGTAGGTGAAAGAAATTAAGATCTCAGCTTCTCATTCCAGTTCTATCCATTTGAGCCATTTATTTTACTGCAGGGCCCAAAGTGTATTCAAAATGAGAAATTTAAAAATTTTCACTAAGAAATCAATTCTGTGGGTAAACAGGCATGCGTTAATTGTGTTCTCTGGATTAAATTGAAAAGTAAAAACTAAGCAAAGCTAGGAAACAAGTATCTATGACAATTTTAAAAGTAAATCATGATATACACAATAATATTTGTCCTCAAGAACCTCAGATTTCCTTTTCCTTAGTTCAACCCTATCCTTACTTTTCCTTTAAAGACAACTGCTTGGAAGAAGATAGATGCCGTGGGGGTGGGGCACTGAATAACAGTTTGCAGAAAGCAACTGGAACATTTCCAGCCTCTGTCCTAATTCCAAACTGCTCAAGTTATAAAATAAACTGGATTAAAATAAACCAGGACAGTGATCATTTCACAATGGAAACAAGTATCAAATCATTATGTTGTAAACCTGAAACTAACATATTTCAATTATATCTCAACTAGAGGCCTGGTGCACGAAATTCATGCACAGGCGGGGTCCCTAGGCCTGGCCGGCGATCAGAGCCCATCAGGTTCCCCGCCTCCCCGCCTCCTCCTTCCCTCGCCACCCACACACCGCCACCGCATGGTTCCCCCTCCCCCCACCCCATCCTTCCCTTGCCACCCACATCTGCCACCACCCACCCCCGGTTCCCCGTCCCAGCCCGAGGGTCCGGCCTCAATTGGGCAATCGGGGCCTGCCGACCGGGGGCAGGGACCAGGAGGTTGGCTGGTAGGCCCCATCAGCGATCGGGGCCTGTGGGCTGGGGGCAGCTCCTGCGTTGAGTGTCTGCCCCCTGGTGGTCAATGTGCGTCATAGCGACCGGTCACCCCATCGTAACAGTCGCTTAGGCTTTTATATAGAGAGATTTTAAAAATTAAATCAATCAGCATCTTAGTACCTATAACCTGAACAGAAGAGAAGGGACGGGTATTACCTTTACATAATAGTATCTGAGGGCTCGGCTGAGCTTGTCGTAGTTCATGTTAGGCTTGTTCTTGCGAATCCCCCAGAGCCGAGCCACTTCTTCCGCCTGCAAAAGCTTGAACTCCCCGTTGTCAGAGGTCCAGCAGATCATGTGCTTGTTCTGCGGCTCCTGCAGGAGCTGAAGGAGGAACTGCCACAGGGTGATAGCACTGTCCATAGCCATGAGCTGGAGGAGGCACAAGGGAGACACATTAACGGCCGACGCTCCCACAGCACTGTACGTCAGGCACTGCTTCACGTGCTCCAAATATAGTACTTCTTCTCATCCCCACAACAGACACGATTGCAGCCTTATTTTATTTATGAAAAAACTGATTCATAAATAGCTGCAGCGATCCTGAGAAAGAAGAACAAAGTACGAGGGATCTCAATACCAGGTCTCAAGCTGTATTACAAAGCCACCGTTCTCAAAACTGCCTGCTACTGGCACAAGAACAGACATATAGACCAATGGAATAGAATAGAGAACCCAGAAATCGACCCAAACCACTATGCTCAATTAGTATTTGATAAAGGAGGCAAGAGCTTACAGTGGAGTCAACAGTCTCTTCAATATATGGTTCTGGGAAAATTGGACAGATACATGCAAAAAAATGAAACAAGACCACCACCTTACACCATATACAAAAATAAACTCAAAATAGATAAAGGACTTAAATGTAAGATGGGAAACCATAAAAATCTGAAAGGAATCCACAGGCTGCAAAATCTCAGACATATGCCAAAGCAATATCTTCACCGATACAGCTCCTAGGGCAATGGAAACTAAAAAGAAAATAAGCCAATGGGACTACATCAAAATAAAAAACTTCTTCACAGCAAAAGAAACCAACAAAACAAGAAGAAAGCCCACAGCATGGGAGAACATATTTTCCAATATTATCACCGATAAGGGTTTAATCTCCAACAATTACAGGGAACTCATACAACTTAACAAAAGGAAGATAAACAACCCAATAAAAAAATGGGCAACGGACCTAAATAGATAGTTTTTGAAAGAGGACATAAGGAAGGCCAAGAGACATATGAAAACATGCTCAAAGTCACTAATTATCTGAGAGATGCAAATTAAAACAGCAATGAGGTACAATCTCACGCCTGTCAGAATGGCTATCATCAACAAATCAACAAATGACAAGTGCTGGCAAGGATGGGGAGAAAAAGGAGAAAAAGGAACCCTCGCACACTGCTGGTGGGAATGCAGACTGGTGCAGCCACTGTGGAAAACAGTATGGAGTTTCCTCAAAAAACTAAAAATGGAACTCCCATTTGACCCCGTGATCCCACTTCTAGGAATATATCCCAAGAAACTAGAAACACCAATCAGAAAGGATATATGCACCCCTATGTTCATAGCAGCACAATTCACCATAGCTAAGATTTGGAAATAGCCAAGTGCCCATCAGCAGATGAGTGGATTAGAAAACTGTGGTACATCTACACAATGGAATACTACGTTGTGGTAAAAATGAGGGAGTTCTTACCATTTGCAACAGCATGAATGGAACTGAAGAGCATTATACTAAGCGAAATAAGCCAGTCAGAGAAAGATAAATATCACATGATCTCACTCATTTGTGGAATATACTGAACAACATAAACTGATGAACAAAAACAGATCCAGAGACAGAGAAGCATCGATCAGATGATCAAACCTCAGAGGGAAGATAGGGGAGGGTGGGGTTAAGGGGGAGAGATCAACCAAAGGACTTGTATGCATGCATATAGGCCTAACCAATGGACACAGACACCAGGGGGGTGAGGGCATGAGTGGGGGGGGGGTGTAATGGGGGGATAAAGACACATATATAATACCTTAATCAATAAAGAAAGAAAAAAACTGGTTCATAAAAGAGCTAAATAATTTGTCTAAGGTCACACAAGGGAATGATGGAGCGGAGACTTAAACCTCGGCAATCGCATCCAGTCTAGACGCTCAGTCATGCCACGCTGCTGAAGGGAAGTCTTGCTTGGGAGACAAAGCCAGTTCCATGAATTATAGGAGCAGCCTGCTGCCTGCCAATCACTAGAGAATCACTGTTATTAAACTTATCTTACAAGTGGGTGGTCGCATTCTCTGAGGAGACCACCATTTCGGCATCTATCTTAATCAGCCCAGTTGATTTATTTGCCAGGATGTGTATGTGTGTGTCTCAGTGTGGCCTGGGGGTATAGAATAATCTACTACTTCTGTTCCACTGGTATTTCTCCTTCAAATTGTTTCCATTATCGTAACTATAATTTACATATAAATTGGCAGCTCTGAAAATTGGGCAAAATGTTCCCTGATTCAACCTGCAAATTCTGTCACCATCTATCTGCCCACAGGGATTTCCTCCGCACAGATCCGCCATTTATTTATGAATCTTTGATTTCTAGAGAGAGAGGAAGGGAGAGGGAGAGACAAAAACATCCACGTGAGAATGAAACATCAATTGGCTGCCTCTGTACACCCCCTACTGGGGATCGAACCCACAACCCCCAGGCACGTGCCCTGATCGGGAATCCAACAGCAACCTTTCCTTGCACGGTACCACGCCCAACCAACCCAGCCACACTGGCCGGGGCAATCCACCTTTAATTGGATTAGCAACCTTTATCTGATTATCAAGACATGAGCTGAAAAATCCTTCAAAATCCCAAATTTTGGGACCTCCCTAGTTAGGCCAGAGTTTCCCAACTACTGACATTCTGGGCCAGATAATTCTTTGTTCCTGGAAGCTGTTCTGTGCATTGTTTAACAGCATCCCTGTCCTCGGCCCACCAGGTGCCTTGAGCACCTCCCGCCCAACTGGGACAATCAAAGATGCCCGCAGACACTGCCCAATGTTCTCCTGGGGTACAGTCATCCAGGCGAGAACCACTGGTTTAGGCAAAGGAAATGCTTGCACCAAGTTATTTTTCTCATAAAACTTCAAAACACCTTGTTGAACAGGAAGAATTCTTTAGGGCGAAAACTCTCGCCAAATACATATAAGCACATCTAAGAAGCCTATGACTGAACTATACCAACACAAAAACAAAAACTTCCTTTTTTTAAATCTAGAAATGAGGTCTCAATGAATCAGGTTAGGACTTGAAAACAATTCAATCAAGCCAATAAAATACTACAGAAAACTCAAAACTTAAAACTTCTGTGCTGCACAGTAAAGAGAAGACTCTCTTACCCTTGGAGACAGCATGGAGGGACCTGGAGAGTATCATGGTAAGTGAACTAAGTCAGTGAGAGAAAGACAAGTATCACATGATCGCACTCATATGTGGAATCTAAGTAACAAAATAAACTGATGAACGGAGTGGATGCAGAGACAAGGAAGAATGGAACAGAGTGAGGAATCTCAGAGGGAAGGCAGGGGAGGGTGGGTGAGTGGGAAGTAATCAACCAAGGACCATGGTCCATGGACACAGATGAGGCCATGCATGTATGGGGCGGTGAGGGCCTGGGGCGGGCTGGAGGGGGTCAATGGGAGAAAAAAGGAGACATATGTAATACTTTTAACAATAAAGAATTATTTAAAGTAATAATAATAATGAAACTTCTGTGCTACAAACAGTATCATCAAGAAGACAATTTGTAGAATGGGGAAAATACTTTCAAATCATAGGAAACTATATAAAAAAAATTATAAAGAACTCTTACAATTAAAGAAAAAAAACAGAAAAATAGGCAAAGGATTTGAAAAGACAATTCCCCAAAGATATACAAATGACCAACATGCACATGAAAAGATGCTCAACATCATTAGTTATTAGGGGAATGAAAATGAAAACCATCTTAGACACCACTTCACACTTAGTAGGACAGCTGTAATTAAACAGACAGTGACAAGTGTTAGCGAGGATGTGGAGAAAGGGAAACCCTCATACATTACAGGTGGGAATGTAAAATGGTATAGCCACAGGGAAGACAGTTTTGATGGTTTCTTAAAATGCTAGATACAGAGTTACTTCAGGACCCAGCAATTCCACCCTTAGCTCCAGACCCAAGAAAAACGAAAATTTATGTCTACACAGACACTTGCACAGGAATGTTCACAACAGCATTACTCATAATATCCAAAAAGCAGAAACAGCCCAGATGTCCATCAACTGATAATTGTATAAACAAAATGTAATACAATCATACAGTAGGATATTATCCAGCCAGAACACAGAATGAAGTACTGGTACATGCTACAACATGGATGAACCTTGAAAACATTATGCTAAATGAAAGAAGTCAGACACAAAGGACAGGTACTGTGTAATTCCATTTATATAAAATGTCCAGAATAGGCAAATCTGTTAGGCATAGAAAGTAGATCAACTGCTGAGGGATGGAGGATGGTTGGGAAGAAGAGTGGAGAGTGACTACTAATGGAGTGATTTAAATTTCCTAACTTAGATTGTAGTGGTGGTCACACAACTCTGTGAATAAACTAAAAGCATTTAATTTTACATTTTAAGTAGGTGAATTTTATGGTACGTGAATTATATCTCAACAAAGATGTTAAAAACAAACTAATACTATAAACATTACAAAAGTTAGGCCTGAGAAGCTCAATCCAATCCTATATAATAAAAGCCTAATATGCTAAGTGTCCGGTCGTCTGTTCAACCAATCAAAGCATAATATGCTAATGATATGCTAAGGCCGCTCAACCGCTCGCCATGGCGTGCACTGACCACCAGGGGGCAGATAGTCGACCGGTTGAACAGTCGCTATGACATGCACTAACCACCAGGAGGCAGACAGTTGACCAGTTGTTATGACGTGCACTGACCACCAAGGGGCAGATGCTCTGACTGGTAGGTTAGCTTGCTGCTGAGGTCCGGCTGATTGGGACTGAGGGAGACGGGCCAGATAGGCCCTGGAGCCCTCCCACGGTCCCTCCCTGGCTGGCCAACCTCCCGTGTCCCTCCCCAGCCCCGACTGTGCAACAGTGGGGTCCCTTGGCCTGGTGTGCACCCTCTCGCAATCTGGGCTTAGG